ACATCCTTTAGGACTGATGGAGTATTTTCCTTCTGTCCTCTTTCCTCTGCTGGCATCCCTTAAGCGTCAAAGATTTTGCTTTTATTGCTTGGGAATACAGCCAGACACTCACTATTTTTAGAGCCCGGGGAGAAGCCCAAGTGCTGGGAACAATAGTCAGTTCACATGGGGACAGTCCTTCTTCCAAGAAAAATTCATGCGATTAGGTTTCATCAGAGATGACAGGGATGACCATGCCCACGAGGAGAGTCACTGGGGATTCAGCAGTCCCAGGATTTCATTACAGCTCTTTGCTCATGAACTTCACATTTACAGGTCTCATCTCAAAACTGTTTCCTACTGACTTCAGCCGGGCCGCTTCTTTGGTTAGAGTTGTATTTTTAAAGAAGAGCTCCCCTTCCTTACTGTCTTACGCCCCAGCCAGAGGAGCAAATGTCAGTGCATTAGCTTTTCTTCCCCAGAAGGTCCCTAAGTCTTACTTCGTTTTTCTTCTTGTGTGGTCTTGCTGTAGTTCATGAGAATTGCCCTGGTATTCTGCTCTATAAATCTCCTTGCCAGTGCAGGCTTCAGCCTTGGCTTATGTTTTCTGAGTAATTCCAAGAAAAATATTAACGCAAACATGCACCCCTGCTGTTCATGGGTGCTACTAGAATCAGTCTGGGGACAGCTGTTCAGAAAATATGATTTAGGGTATTTTTTAGTGTATACCTTGGATGTGCCAAAGTTGCTTTATTTTTTTAAAAAAAAAAAGTTAAAAAAAATTAAACATGAAAAATATTAACAATGTGAAATAAAAAAATCTAAAGCAGAAACATTAGCCTGGAAGACATGATGAACTGATGTCTCAGAACAGACCGCTCTTTATTCTTGTTTTGTTTTCTACTGACATTTTTCAAAGAAAAATTCTTACGATTTTGCTATTTTTAGTTTAATATTTTGTGTTGAAGAGAAGACAGGTACAAAAGATATTGGGAACTGTGCAACTTGATCTGATCCAACAGGTCACTGGTCATTAAACATGAGTTTTCTAGTCAGCACTCAGGAACAATTTAAAAAAATAAATCAATGATTTCTATTTCAAAGAGGCCATAAGAGATCGTTTGAGTAAGGTGACAAGGCTGTGTCTAGGTAAGAAAGGCTTAGGAACAAGCTGCCTCATGAATTTATGGAAAATTCAATTTAAATCTCCAATAACAATAGCAACTGGCCATCTTTCATTTATCAGAAAATTAAAGCTTGCTAATTAAAAGCAAGCCAAGCCTGTGATCAAGTTAGTAACTTCTTGTTTCTGTTGTATTAATCTATAAATATATGAATATCATGCTGCTAAGCTTTAAAGCAAATTATTTATTTTTTAGACCTCAAAGGAGAACTGCTTCTTTCCAGGAGAAAATTACTTGCCTATTGACTGAGTTCTGTATCCCTATAGAGCAAATATTTTCATAAAGAGGAAGTAGAAGATGGAGAGATAATATTTTTTAATCTTGATGTGGCTTATTTTTTCCTCTTCTTTTGCTGCCTGAGGAGAAGGATATCTGAAGATACCGGTAATAAAGGAAACAAAAGACACAGAAAAATTAGATTTAAAATAAAGGCAGTGTGCCCCAAAGTTTGTTTATGCCACCTATCTCTGTTGGTAATAAGAGACATTAATTCTACTACAGCCCTTCTCTTGACTGTGTCCCGAGACCATCGCAGCTGCAACAGCACCACTGGTAAATCCCTCGTCTTTTAAATGCAACTGGGGACCTTGCTCTCTTGTCAATTGATGTGAAGTGAGTCAATAGAAAAACCTGAAAGGTGATTAATCAATTCACTTCAGTTGATTTGTCAAAGATAGTATTTCAGCATCAAACCAGCTAATCTGAGTAAAAATCTTTCAGAATAAAAATGCAAAACTTGATCCTTGATTTTCTACCACCATCTTTAGGCTGCTGCTGGTACAGGCGGTGGTGGCCGCAGTGGTACCTGGGAGAGGTGCAAAGATGCCCAGCAAGCGTATTTTAGTACATCATCTCTTCCTGTCTTACACTGTGGGTGATTTTGGCCCATCTCCGCAGGGTGAGAGCCGTGGAGGAGCTGGCAGAGCTCCTCGTGGTCTGCCTTTGCCCTGGCCGCGACTCAGCCTCTCCTTGCGAAGGGCTGAGGAACTCATCTTCTTGCTACACTGCTAGGTTGGATGAGGAAATGTTCCCATTTTGCCTTGCAGCCTGCTTTTTGTGTACACCACGCTGCTTTTTTTCTCTCGAGGCTTTGTCTAGACGCAACGCTGCCCCCAGATTTCTCAAGAAAAGGCTTGAGCTTTGGGTGAGGACGCTTCACTGTGAATGCCCTTTGGACCAAGCGAAACGGTTGGAGCCCATTGACATGGGGTGGGTGTTTACGTGTGATAAGATATTTTGAGCTAACCACGTACAACAGCGCACGAGCAGCTGAGGGAGGGAATGGATGCCGAAACAGCTGTACCGGCCTTACCCACGCTCCAGCAGAGCCCTCCAGCGCCTCGCCGGCCCGGGCGCCCGGTGCCCCTGCCCTGCTGCCTTTGGAGGCCGTCCCTGGTGGGAACCATGCTGACGTTGCAGAGGCTGTGGCCATGGGAGCAAGCGAGGGCCCTACCGCTCAGGGAGGGGAACGGCGCGCCTGTTCTGGGAGCTGATCCGGCCAAAAACTGCCTGGGGAAAGGGGGAGCGATAACCGAGTTGCTCCCTGGAGCTGGAGGGAGCATGGGTGCAATGGTGCAGCACTTGGGAGGCAGGAGGGGAGCTTGCTGCTGGACTGGCGGCAGCCCCCCCCCGCAGCGGACTGGCGGCAGCCCCACGCAGCAGCCACTTTGGCATATGACATGCAGCATTTTTTCTAGTTAAAACGTCTTTTCTAGTTAAAACGCCTCACCAGCCCCATGTGCTCGCCTCAAAAAATAATCCGTCTGCTCCACACCCTCCCTTCTCTACCTTCTGATCTCTGACTGACTGCCATGTTACAGGTGAACATATCAGCTTGAGGTGCGGCAGCTTGGAAAGATGTGGAAAGGAATTAAAAAACCAGGAGAAATCCAATACAGTCTTGCTGGTGAGGGAGCTGGCATCCCTCTGCCTGAGCTCCATCTCAGGAGAACCTCCTGCTGCCTTTCAAGCTCACCAATGAAAGAGAACAGGTGCTTTGGTCCCCATGTTGCTTGTTTGAGCAGGTTGTTGCACAGCCTCCTGCACAGAAAAGTGACAAGCTGCAAGTTTCACAAGCCTTAAATTTCTTTCCTGGACGTATTTTATAAATAAATGGGACAGCATTTAAAGAGGGTTTCTGGAAGCGACCCGGAACAAAGTAAGTGGAGCACATCTAATACCTTGGCCAAAGGCCTTGGGTTGTCCTCCTGCCGCAGCTGGCCTCACCCTGTCAGGGTGTTTGTAAGGGCAGGAGAAGCTATTTATCAAGTGCTTTGCTATTAAAGGTCAGAAAACTACCTTGCCCTAGAATCTTTACATGGCCATTCATTTCTTTCCAGGCGCTTATGAGTCTCCAAAAAAAATCTCATCTTTATCTTCCTTAACAGCTGTTAAAATAAACAGTAGTTATTGCTAATGTAGCCATCATAGCTTACATGTTACCTATTCATCTGCTTTCAAATGAAAGCCCAGAGAACCTATTTCAACACCTAAACATCTTATTTTGACAATACGGTATCTAGACACAGTTTACACCAAATCTTAAGGGACAACAGAATCCGGCTCTTCTATTCCTACTTCCTAAGTTAAGGGAATTGAATTTGGGTAGCTCCCCTGTACCAAGCTGATCAGGCACTCATGCACACAAATCTAGGGAGACCACTAATTCTGGGGACTTGTGTGGACACTCAAAACTTTACAGTGCAGTTCATAATAACCATCCGACATATGATAACAAAAGGGGAATGGGAGTCCTTGTCATTTTGAGAGAACTGATGTAAATTAGTTGCGGACCAAAGTCCTCAGTTTTGCTCACTGAAAACATCTGTGCAGAATGGAGAAAGGGGTTTGAATTCCAACTAGCAAACAGCCTCTGTATCTAGGAAAGACTGTGCTCCAACTTCAAGCCAGTTATCTAGCATATAAGAAACCCAAGATGAGTCCACAGTGTTTGCAATAGGAAATAAACATCATTACAATTAAAAAGAAATCAAGCATTATTAGGCTTTTTTATACAAAACTGTTTACTCTCCACTAAGGTAAATCTGGGCTGGAATTCTTTCATTCTTTTGCTGTAACAAGCATGATGTGGTTGCGCTCAGAAAGGCTGGACCTCCTTTTGCTCAGAACAGTAGGAATACCTGCTACAGAGGTAGCTGTTATGTTAACAAGAACAAGAGTAAATAAAAGCAATCAAATCCCAGTAACAGCTTAGCTGGATCATGTAATTGCACATGGCCACCAACTCAGCCCAAATCATTCCAGTTCAGTGTGAAATTCACCTCCTACCATGGCGTGAAGGTCCTTAAAGCCATTAATCAGTGAACGTGCATGAACATGTTCCTCTTCAGATGCTGCAAGTGTGAATGTGGTTTCTTGTTTCTCACCCAGCTGCAGCCGTTGCCAGACACAGACCTCCAACTTGTTCTGCTAAGACCACCGGATCGAGAGGAGCGTGTGTACAGGGGAGGGGAACCACGGGATACACAGCTTTCTTAAGGAAAACCCAACAGCGATGTGCCATCTTTCAAAAAAGGGTGTGTGGGAGAAAGGGAATCAACCTGATTACCTGGCACTGGCTTTCATTTTTTTATCCTCAGCCTGCAGACATGCTTTAACTCCCCAGTGCCAGGTAAGTGAGACAGGAGTACAAGGGTAAAATGGTGTTTTTCTGAGATGGTCCAGAATGAGTAGGCAAAGGATTTGAGCACACAGACCCTGACAAGCAACAGCGAGACAGACCTGGTTTTCTGTTCCAAATCCTTCAGCCTATCTCTGTTTTTATATGATACCCATAAGAAGCTTTTAAGACTGAGACAAAATAAAACACAGAGCATGTCTATATAAAGGCATTCAGCAAGAAGTGCTGAAATTTATTCAAATTTTCATAATTACAATAGAGACCTCTGACTTTGAACTTCTAATTCACAACAGCAGTAAAAAAGGAAATGGTGAAATGGGTTGTATTAAAGTGCAATGATGTGGAGAGAACCATTGAAATAACACAAATGAGGCTGCGGTGAGAAATGACAGGACAGTCTCATCCTAGCAATGACAGCAATATATAAGTAAATTATGTTACAGATAATTTACAAAATAACTTACGTAGATGAAGATAAACTGAATCTCATGTTGCCATTCCATTGTTAAATATCAGACTAAATATTCCCAGTCAGCCCAGTATTATATGGGATAATTAAAAAAAGATCAAAGGATTTCTGCGTTGGAAAAGATGCCTGAAGTAAAGCCCTGATCAGCCTTTATATTGCAAGAAACCTAAGTATTTATGAATTGTAAAGTGACACATTCAGCAGCATGAAGACTATAAATACATCTTTTACATTGATACATCATATCTACACACATATACATATTTACACACACATATATACACACACAAGCACATACATGTACATATATATGTACATAAATATATGTGTGTGTGTGTATATATGTTTCAATTTGTGCTGACCATGGTCAGCTGCATTTTGATTGCGTCTGGGGTAGGGTTGCTTTTGCAACTCAGGAGTAAGATAATTTTTTAAAGAGTATTTGTCCTTTACATTTCCTAAGCTGCAGCCTTTAAAATCTAAAATTTTGGCATAAAGGTAGACTTCAGGGCCCAGCCGTCAGAGGGTCTGATGATTAACAGCAGTTCCCGTTGCTTCTGAAAAATTACGCTTTTAGTGGCCACATTATTTTTAAATAATATGATACATGAATCAGTTAAAAACCTATTTTCATATAAGTAAAAATATTTGAGAGATGGACAGGAATGAATACAATATTCCATACATGCACACAGTTCTGGACTGTTTGTAAGAATGAAGTGCAAAGAACATCTGACAAGGTGAAAATTTACAACATTGGCTTACATCATACCTTGAAAAATGTCAAGTTTAGTATTACCCTTCCTTTAAAAAAATTTGAAATACTTGTCTTAGCATAAATCTGACCCTTCTCTAATACAGATTTTTTTTCTCCCGTGCTCCCCTTTTATACAAAAGTTATGTTGTCGTGTTTTTTGTTTGAATAAATCTGCAACAAACACTATTGACTAAAAATACACCTGGTTTCTAGCCCTCCTACGTTTGTCTGAAGGAAGGCTCTTGACCCATAGCGCAGCCACAATAGTTTCCTCTGCCTGTAACTGCATGTCAATTGCGAGAGCTGAAGGTAACCATGCGATTACTGTTTATTAAGAAATCGTTTAGTGAATAAGAACATTTGTGTTTCATTGCGCACCTGCGTAAGGAAAAAGATACTACTAAATTGCCAAGGCTATGTAAACACAGTGATCTTGGTAAAGAATTTGGTTGTGAGGCCAAAATACCTCAGAAAACAGCTATTCCATCGCACACATCATTAAAAGGTTGGACAGGATAAAATAGTAATTTCTTTTGATGCTGTTGTGGTCAATAAATTGGTCATGTCTGCATCCCAGTCTCTAGGGAGCAGAAGAATATCCTGAAGACCCAAGAGAAGAGAAAAGGCTGGACCAAACCTCCTTCCTGGTTGCTGTAAGAGTCCCATTCACTGCATTGACCGAGGTACGTCCTTGGAGAAAGGGGTTTTTTGGGAGGAGAAATTGTAAACTTGGATTTATTTTCTTCATACCTATCCTGTACAGTGATTGCTGTGTTATCAGTTTACGATAAGGATTTAGCACTGAACACATTTTGTTTGCTCACATTCAGATCCTTGCTGTTACAAAATGATACAGTTCTGCAGAAACCTGATTGTATATCAGTGAGAAAATGTGTTTTATGCTAACAGCTCTGCAGCTTCAGACTTCAGAGCAGAAGCCTCTGCAAGACCCTATTTCAAATTGTTTAGCTTTTATTTACAACTTCACATTCCATGCACTTTTCATTGGCATCTTCTGGGAGAACCTGTAAAAATCACCAGTGAAAATACTCAAAGCTGGCAACACAGAACTCGTGGTTCTCTGTTTGAGTCCAACATCTAGAACTCTGCACAAAATTACAAACTCCGGATTTACCTTCCATGGAGGTGGGGTGAAAATTTACTGTTAGCCCTTAATGTCCGAGAAGCTGGTGCTGCTGGCATTGCAGCTATCACTGCAACTTGATGATGTGCTCAAAGTGCTGGAGGCAGTGCCTGATTCTGGGAAAGAGAAAGGAAAGAAAAAAAACCACAAGAAAACATGATATGGTTGTTGTTTTTCACAACTTTCTTTCATAATAGGGATCTTCAGAGAGACATTCATCTCATTTATAATAAATAGCCTACCAGAGCTGCTTAAAGATTGAGCTGATTTTGAATTGCCTATGAGCATCAGCAGATTGTTTGCTGGGATCCAACCTTCTCTACCAGTGCTCAGGTTCTTTACATACCTAAAATAATATAAAAATAAAAAGTCAAATTGCTTCATTTCCTGCCTTTGAAAGTTTTACCCTAAACATCTGCCTTCCGAACACAGTTCTGCGTATAAAAGTTTCCAAACACAGATCTGCGTACCAAAGTCCATCCTCCCCTTCACGAATCAGTTGAACTAGATCTCCACTTTTCACTGTAAATTCTTCAGAAACTCCTTTCTCATAATCAGTCACAACTGTATATTTACCAGGAGTCTAAATGCACACAGAGGAAAAACATAAACAAATTATTTCTATTGAGTAATTTAAGGTATATGTTGCAGCTTTTGTTACGAAAATGTCCGTATTTTCCCCTCCTTTCTCATGCACATACATGCTGAAGACTGCGCTAAATATACATCCTGAGAGGCAGTAAAACTTTGCTGTTCAGTTACATGCAAATTCAGTACATGAATTCTCACACCCTGAAAAACGTTCAGTGAAATGTTTCCATTACAACAATTAATTCAAATATCTACAAAAAAATCCCCAGGAAAAAAACCACCAAAACCAAAACCAAGCTGGCAAACCAAGCTTAGTGACACGATGTATGTGTGGAAGTCTGTTGACATGGTAGCTAAGCATGTCATTGCTTGACTGCTGTACTATGGCATAAGCAGTCACGGCCTCACTAGTCCGCAGGTACACAAAGGCACAGAGGGACCTTCCCAAGGCACAAACACAAGGCTAATTTAAGAAAAGGGGCTATTTTCCATTCCCCTAGGAATTTTGCCCAGCTGAGGATTTCAAGGCAGACACTTTCCTTCCTGCAAGCTTCAAAAGCATTCCTATATACTGCCACACACAATGTATCAGTAAGATTTGCTTAGCTCAATAGGAAAGCATTTCTGGTTACCAGCTTCATTTCGCCTCCCCCTCCTCCTCCTTCTTCCTCTGCATCCGATGAATTCAGCGGATCTTCAGCACTAGACCAGCCATCATTTTCTTCAGATGCATCAAGAGAATGAGATGTTTTAGCCCAACCTTGGGGAACAAACAGTCGCCAGTTAACTTTGCAGCAGTGAGCCACTGACCGGGAGAAATGTTCTTCCCACTGAACAGCTCTTGAGTGATCAACATAAACAGGAGGAAAACGATACACAGAGAAGTTATTACAGCCACTAGGTGAAATTCACAGCAGGCAAAAGTTGGCCTGTTTCCATCAGAGTAAGCGGAGTTGTGGCAATGCACAGCAGTGAATTGGGCCCTTTGGATTTATATAGAGAGAAACAGATGGAAAGAATGCAAATTCCCAACTAAAAAGAAGCTATTTTTCCCTTATACAAAGATGAACGATGGATAGATACTCTTTTTCTTGGGAGGAGGTAGAAGACAGGAGCATGCACTCTATGGGAAGAGGATGAACACACGGGTTGTCACCCAAAGCAACCTAACCAGCCTGCTGGAACAAGGGATGGGATGCATATAGATTTGTTCAAACTGTTGAGCACTTAGAGCTGTCAAGAAATTCAACACAAGCTACAGGCACTCTGTACTTCACCTGCTGAGGCAGCTTATTATTCAAAGGTATTCAGGCACAAGGATTACTTAATCATGCTGAATTATCCTGGTGTTAAGTCATTGCACCAAGCACCACAAGAACAATCTCCTGCCTGTCATTTATTGCCAAGTGTTCCTTTTTCTCTCCAGGGTGAAGCATTTCATTTATTTACAAGGCTGAATCATATCCAGAGTGCACAAAATCCTTTTCCAAATAAAACTACAGTAAGTTTTACTAGTGGGATGCTTTTCACTGAGGTCAGCAGCTGCTAATAAATGTCGAGTTTATAATGAAAAAAAAGTCATGATAAAAGACAAATAAATATTTGTACGAAAGATTTTGGTTCAAGCCAAAGGGTAACAACAATGAAACTCAGTGAAAAGAATGAAAGGCAGAACAAACCTCCCAACTTTTATGTAACTGTTAGTTAAGTTGAGAAAGCACCAGCATTTTTGCTCTTCACTGCTTCCGAGGCATTTGTCGCATGGCTGGTCATACCAGTGCATTAGCAAAAACCCTGAGCATCGTCAGAGTAAAGCCAGGGCAATCTAAGAATCATAGAAAGAAATCACACTCAGAGCGCACCAAAGTGGGACTTTCACTGCTTCCGAGGCATTTGTCGCATGGCTGGTCATACCAGTGCATTAGCAAAAACCCTGAGCATCGTCAGAGTAAAGCCAGGGCAATCTAAGAATCATAGAAAATCACACTCAGAGCACACCAGAGTGGGACTTCTACCTCGCCTGCGCTGCTGCATGACCTGCACAAGGTTTGAAGTACTGACCCATTTGGCCCTGTCTAGGGTTAAGAATGAACTTCAATCTGTGAAGAAACTGAGCAATAAATCCTGCTGTATTCCATGCAAATTTCCTTGGAAGCTCACATCTTATAGTTGGCTCGTGGGACACAGCTGAAACCCTTTCCATAATTTCCAAGTTAAGAACAATGCAACAAAAGAAAACTTGGTTTCTCCTAATTGTTCCAAGCTCTCATTAGAAACAGAACCAACGAGTTGTTCACAAAAGAAAAAGAAAGTGAAATCACTGTAATTGCTCTGCCATAGCATCATACTCACCGGCCTGCTCATCTGGAACATTTTGGTTAACAGCTCTTGTTTCTCAGCCTCTTTGCTTTCATACATTGTGCTGATGTGGGTAAAAGCAGACCTGCCTGATCCTGCCATAGCAACAGTACTCCCACTCCTCATACAAGCTGGCACTCTACTTAACAAGGCTTATAAAAGCCCATTTCATCTTGGCTGGGCGAAGTGGTCACTACAGCCATATTCATATTGACTAACTAAACCGGCACCAAAATTATGCGTGCACATTCAGTGTGCATGTGTGTACTCTGCACGGTGTGACTAAATCAGAGCTCCCTATAAAGGCAGGAAGTGTCTTTGGCGGATAGCCTGAGAAAAGGCAAGGTTATGCAGAAATGAGCTTAGATTTGATGGTGCCAGGAAAACGAAGAATTCATTAACCGCTTCTCTTCAGAAATGGGCCCACAGATTTGTTCACAGAGATGGGATCTATTTACAAGATATGATTCTGTCACCAATACATTTTCCTTGAGCTCCCTGCGACATAAGTTGGAGCGATGTAGCAGTGAAAGGAAACGAGTGGGGGCAATGCGCTCTGCACCAAGGAGCTGTGCCATCACCTGGTGCAGCTTCATCCTGAAATGCCTGGGTCAACTGCCTGCTTATCCCTCTTTCAGTTGGGGAAGGAGAAGAGATAAAGTGTCAGAAAAGAGATCGGAAGGTGCAAAACAGAAAGGGGAGTTACTAGATGTTTTAAATGCATTTACTTGGTTTAGCGGTTTCATAAGGTGAGAGGCTGCTGGACAGGACAGCAAATCAGACAAGTCTGTTCTGAGAACCCACAATTTTATTGTAAATTAGCAATGATCAAGGACTCTCCACCCTGGAAAATTTCAGCATCCGTGGAAAAGGCCACAAAACACCCTTTGCTTTCTGATAGCATTTTCAGGCCCTCAGGACTTCCATGGTACCTGGAAATCTCAAAGATTTGACTGCTACCTGCAGAAAAATTAACTTCTTAACTCCCATATCCACACTTGTGGAGTTTCTGCATGCGTCTGGCCTGGGATTACGTTGCCTGCTGCTCAGACAAGGTGAATGGTGTTGCATAGTTTCCCCAGCACAGCAGCTGAACCCGCATCATTTCCACAGGCAAGACAAAGACAAATGCTGTGGAAAGCTGGAGAAGGAGCATGATGGTAGGGCTTGAAACAGCTTTATCTTTAGAATAATATTTTCTAAAAGAGATGGTGGTGGAATGAGAGTCAGGAAGAGAGGGACTGCTTTCCTTGTACTCTCTAGTTAATTAGCCCTAAAGATTTGTAGTCAAGCCTTCACCAACAGCCTTGCTGATTAGAAATGGGTCATTTAACTGAAATGCTTTTTTATTCTTTGCTTAGCTGTGGGGTGGGAGGACAGGAGGCAAACTACTACAAGGGGTTGAGTTAAATTATCTGGGGTTCACAGCGTGGTAAAAATTGCCTACTCTCACCCAAAGAAAGATGCAACAGGACTGTGACTACAGTAACTAATGCAGATCTACAATGGAAATTCCACATGACAGTGATGATCCCTACTCTGACTAGAGTACATGCGTCTCAGTTTTTATTTTTTTTTTCCTTTTTTAAAAGTTAAATCCTCTCCACAAGGGGCACAGTGACAGGAGGATGCTAACTGGAAAACCAAGTGTCTCATAGTAACTGGATGCCACTGTAGTTCCATAAAACATCCGGCTTCTGGTTTTCTTCAGCAGAACATCCCTTTTCCACTGCCCTCTCCCAAAAACTAGTTAGCCAATGCCAAGATAAAACTTCAACCGGTTGTGCTATCAAAAACAGTATATACAGAAGCTGACAGACCCACTTGGAAGAACTCAGCTGATACCAATACTGCTGCACGCAACAGCATCATACAGGTATCTGCAGTGCTCTGATGTAACATATTACAGAGGGATGTGTGGATATTTGTTGAGAACAAGATGTGGTATCATTCTACCTCTTAAACCAAAAGGAGTTGGGTCACTCACTACTTCATGCCGTTTAGCTTTTTTGTCAGGACTGGTAGGAGAAGCTGCAGGAGGATGAATAGGCAAAAAACACACAAGAGAGATATTGAAGAACTGGAAAAAAGAGAATAGGTGGATTGCATGCCAAATACCTTTGAGTTTACAGTGAAAAACAAATGGATTTCTGTAATCGCTCTAATTTTAGCTGAAAATTGGTCAATTACAGCAGAAGGAATTAATTATTTACATGAAGTTATTTGAAGATAAATTGACAAATTTATTTTACAGTAATAGATGAAAGTATATATAAAAGTATATGTAAATCATTCTCTAAATGAACTAGACATCAACTGAATACAATTAATGTTTGTCTAAAATTGAAATTACCAAATTAAGCAATCATTTTTATATATATATCTAGTGCTACAGCAATACCTGGTCCTGTAAGAAGGATCATTGGCAATGTCTGGCTTTTAGCAGAAGGAGATGGAGTTTCTGTCAAGGCAAGCATGGAATATTAGTGCTTACCTCATTAGCATTAGATATGCAACGCTAGAGTCTCTCCAGACAGAACTCAAAGGTAATCAGGTTTCAAAAAGGCATTCTGAAAAGATGCTTGGGGAGGGAAGGAGGCAGGGGGGGAAATCATGCTCTTGAACAAGTACCATTATCTTAATGCAATTCAGACTGTTCAGAGACAGGTGTTCAAAGCAAGAATTTAATGTACCAGTCCGATTACTTGGCAGGAGGAAGCAAGAAAGGTCTCAGACTCCTATTGCCTGTTTTAGCAAAAAAAGTAAAGACCATTTCTGGACGCATAAGGAAATTCTTACCTATTTTTGTACCCAGCAAAACAACATTGTCATACACATTCTGCTGTAGTCATGCTTTGGGGGTTCTGTTAGCAAGGACGCTAATATAGAAATACTCTAGAAAACCTTGATTCCTTTTTGCCAAGTACAGGTGCACTTGGGGCAGATCCACTGAAGCTAGAAGCAGACCAGGTATCTGATATGAAGACAACTAACTTCCTCTAGTTTTCCTGCAGGAATGGGGCACTATAAACTCCTTCCTTGGCCACAATAGTGAGACTGGCGGCATTGGAAACTACACTTCTTCCCTTGCATCTCCAACAGCTCCACTTTTCCCAGCTGCATCTCCCTCTCCCACTCTGGAGCCGGTTTCTCTTGAAATCTCCCTGTCAGGGTCAGTGACTCAGGAACCTAGCTTGAACTTAGGAGAACAAGCTAGTGTATACACTGAAAACCTGTTACACTACACACACACACAAAGTGATGCTTCAATTACAGCCTTAAACAGAAAACAATCTAGCTTTTTTAAAAAATGACCTTTCTGACTTTTGAGATTAGTAAAGCCCTGCAGCGTAAAGCGCTTTTTTGACAGTACAGAGCATTCTGAGGTAGAGCTAGTGTCATCTACAAAGGAAGAGAGAGACAAAGAAAGGGGAGAAGGCCATGAAGAGGTCAAGGCAAAAAATCGTTCACAGCCCTGCCAGGGAACTGGCACGTTAAGATGAGAAAGGACAACTGAAAGTCCAGGTACAACAGAAGAACCCAAGCAGCCAGTTGTTCTTCTCACTGTGCAGGGGCTTGTATTGCCACTGGTCTAGTAAATAATCTCCGTGATGGGAACCAAAATTCAACAGAAAAATAATACTCTTCAGAACAGGTAATGCCAAGAAATTTATGCAGAGGAAGAGAAACCTGAGAAGCTGGGCAGCTCTAAAAGGAGACCTACTGCAGACTTGGGCCTCATAACCCACAGTTTCCACCTCCTTTTGGCTACCCTTCATGGAGGTGGCTTTGGGCCTGTCCACACCACACAGTGCAATGCAGAAACCCCGGAGCTAAAGGCAGGTGTGACCAGCACGCTGGTGCAGCGTGGGCAACACTTTGTGGGTGGGCTGCCTGAGGGCTGAAAGCAGCACAGACCTGCTCGTTCAGGTGTAACGCTGTGTTTGCCTGCACTACCGTGGCTGCTCTTGCTGGTGGATCTGCCTGTGCATCTGCAGTGCAGGCATGCTCTTTGCAGTTAAAGATAAGAATACATACGTGTAAACTCACCTTTGCCTTTCTCGGGGTACTTCGGTGCTATTGTGGTGCCATAGCCTTCTAGACTTGTGAGATCAGCTTTTCTCTCCTCTATTTTTTTGGTGTTTCTGATATGGTTCCGTGAAGGACTGTTGATTGGAAGAAAATTAAGACAATCAATCCATCTCCAGCAAATTTGGTCACAGGCTGCCTTTTACATACAGATATATAGGCTGAAAACCATTTCTTAGCTACTTCACAGATCATACCTTCCAGGATTGAAGAAGTCATGGTGGTTGTGCATAGAAAGACCATGAGCACATACAAAGGAGAAAGACTCCCCTAACTGACTGCAACCACATGTTGAAAACCACACCTGAAAAGACAGCTCAGGACAACTTTCACTCACTTTCAGCTACAGGCACACATTCTGAGCTGACAGTTTCCTCCTGAAGGTACCAACGAAAAAGAAAAAGAAAAAAAAAAAGGAATAAACTCTGCCACTCAGAAGCTCTTAACAGAGGAACAGATGAGGAATGAACAAAGGTTGGATCTTGCAGTTGGATACCCATCACACCTCCGACTGGGAATGGAATGGAGAAAGACATCCCACAAATACTATACATCTGGGACATTCTTCCTGAGTGATAAGTAGATGCATAAAACATGCAGGGCGTATACATATTTGAGCACACACCATGTGAGAATGAGTTAAGATATGACGACATGGGCTTATGGATATATACACATACACATATAATGAAAAAAAAGAGTGAGTAGCAGAGGATTAAAAAGAGGTGTCAGAGAAGGGCAGAACAGCAGGTGGGAGCAGAAGAATATACAGGTTGGTAGGGTGAAAGATAAAAAACAGGAAATTGGAGGAAAAGAACAAGGGACAGAGAAAAGATAATGCCCTGAAAAAGACAAAAAGGAAGATAATGTGACATTGGAAAAAGAAGAAAAAAATTAACCCAGGTGAAGTAAAAGAATAGAGAAAGAAGGCTGCTCCACATAACTCTCCTATCTGGCATGTAAAGTATATAATGAGCTGTTCAACAAACAGACCCATAATACCACCAGGATTTTGGCTGGTGCAGAAAATGACTTTTCTGTGTTGTTCTCTATCAACTGGCAAAGCCCATGCCACTGCTGCTCAGTTTAATACTTCTGGAGATGTATAAACCCCAAGCTTTATAGTAGGAAGAGACCTAAAAAAACCCCTAAAACAAGGGCCAGTATTAAGGGATAGGAGTAATGAAGAACAGCAAACTAGATGTATTAGTATATTTACAAGACAGCCAGGCTGATCTGACAACATACTTACTTACCTTGTACAAGACGATGCTGGTAGAGGTAAACTCTGTGTTTGTTCTAGTGTCCTGTGCTGACTAGCTTCTGTGATGGAGGAAAGAAAAAGAACTGTTAAAATTGATTTGTGTTTTGAGCTTTTCATTTCTACAGTCCTACACAGTGAAGATGTACAGGGCAGGTTTTGAAGTTCAAAGAGAAGAGAGATTAAAAAAAAAGGTATAGATATCCAAAATATTTTACCTCTGCATGCCTGCAGTTGACTCGTCAGCACTTTTCTTATTTCATTTACCCAAGTAGCTTTAACTTCAGGGGTTGGTGCCTACCCAAAAATAAATAGAATCAGCCATCAAGCATAGAATACCTATTACACAGAGAGTTGCGTGCCAAAGCACAGCCTCAGAGGAATCCTTCAAGAGGGACAGACAGAGCTCCCTCTCTAGTCCTTCAGTGAACAGAAACTAGTTGTGAAACTGGAACACAATGAGGCAGAGGCTGTGCATGTGCTACAGTCAAACCCCGGCTCCCAAGCCATCCACTACTCCAGTGAGAGCAATAGTAATGGTGTTTTCAACATCCCCCATGGATATTGTAAAACGTCATTTTTTTTTTTTCCCCCAGAAGACTCTGCAATTGAAATATATTGTTTAAGAAAATACCTTATGAATTAATCTGGGGTGTTTTGTTGGTGGTCGTCCCGTCCCCCCCCCTCCATTTCCTCATCACTGTCTATTAGTGATATAGCAGAGGGAAAAAAACCCAGATCTTCTTAGGGTTAGACTTCCCCCCCGCCCTTTTCTCTCTCTCTCTCTTTTTTTTTTAAGTGGCATGTTATTTACCTGTATGATGTAAACTTCTTCCCTTGCATTATACCAGATTTCAAATTTTTTTGCATCCCCTTTGACATTTTCTGTAATTCCAACTGCTGCCATCTGGAAGCGAAGAGAACAGAAGCTGACCTACCAAACTGCAATTACGGTAACAGAAGCAGGCGGCTACTGGTATTCTTTGGTACCCTATTTCTGAAAAGCAAAGCCACATTTGGCTTCTTGCTCAAGGAAAAGAATAACTAATAAGACATGATCTGCATGTTGGATGTAAGAGATTTAGTGCTTTGTGTCAGCTTGGCTACGCCGGAGGGAAGAAAGGTTTAGGTACATTAAATTGAGACTGACCCACAAGATGCCTCTTTTAAAATCCAGACCACCAAATCTTATATCTATTTTGTACTACCCTGCTCTACTCATTATTACATTTGCCGAGTGATTAATGCAACTGCCATTCAGCTAGACTAATATGGTTTGGATTTTCTCAAAGGATAATTTCCCCCGAGTCTCTACAGACACCAACACAAAGTGACACAGACCTGCAGCACCAGTTAGGTTTGCCTGAAAGGGTGAAATTCCCAATGCAAAACCATAACATAGCTTTGCTGACAAAAAAATAGAATATTGTATTGCTGCAGGTTAAGCCCTCAGTACCTCAACCTTACTGGACTGCTCAGTGTCTTACATTTAAGGAGTGTTTGTAGCTGTAAGAAGGTGCTTTCTCATATCCCTCTCCATTTTCTTCTCGCTTTTTACAGAACAGCACTGCTTTCTCGTGGAGGAAGAGGTGTCGCTGCATTGGCTTGAAGCGTGCCAAATCTTTCACCTTCGAATGACCCTTTTTATGATCAGTCCAGACATTGAAGGATCCCTGCATTAAAAGCTTGCCCAACTCATTCAGGTTTCCCTGGAACAAAAAAAGCGGTATTTATAACTACAAAAAGATAACATCAGACTAAAATGAATACTGTGAACAGGTCTTTACAAGTTCTGTTGGTCCAAGTAGTCTCTCCCATCAGTGTTTATGTTGAGTTTGGAAACGTAATAAAAATAAAGTCAGTGTTGGATTTTTACACATAAATTTCTCTCTCCCCAACACTGTTCAGGCAAGATTTTACAGTTAAGAGTACCACTGGCAGAGATACAGAGATCTACACATACAGAGAGGGGGAGGCACAATACACATATTTGGTTGTTTGGGGTTTTTTCCCCAAACTCTGCTCCAAAGCTGTTGCGTTGTGTGGTTTTGGTGTTGGTTTTTTTTTTTTAACTGAAAGTTTTGGGTGTAGTTTTACACATAGATATAAAAACTTAGTAGTGACTCCCATTTGGCAGTAGCCCAAACCAGACTCTTCATGATGATTTTCAGTTTCTAACTTGGTGTCGAGTAGATCAAAGAAAGAAAACTTGGGTAGACGGAGCAAAATATTATTCATAGCAGGAAAACTTCAAAAGAGCATAGAGAGATCCATTATTTTCATTACACAATTCAGTTTAAAGGCACCTTTTGTAAAACATTCTTCTCATTAAAACACAGTATAGGGTATGCTGTACATATATCTAAGAAATAAATGAAAATAAATTAAAAAGTAAGTAAAAATACAGTTACTCACATCGTAGCCTGTAATGGCTATCTGGTGCATAGAATCATTAACTGCTTTGAGAATACCCAGTATAGAAGTTAATGCCTCCTGAAGATCTTCAGCACCTTCACAGTTCTTACTGTACTTCAGCATTTCCTGAGCAGGCAGGGAATGACAATATACTTACTTAGCTTTGGAAACAGCAGTAACTAGGAACATTTAAATTTTAACACTTCTTGAAGTTATTTAGTAAAGTTTTATACCATATAATCTAGTGGGTTAAATACTGGCTGGAACTCAGAAGACCATAAAGTTTTACTTCTCATCTCTGCTGCTAATTAGCCAAATATATTTCGTTCATCTAGAGGTTTTGTAAACTCTACCTAAGAATTTTAAAAGACTAACTTTGCAAACATATTTTTCATCACAATTGCTAAACCCCCCCCCCCAAACCTCAAACCCAAAACACAAACAAAAAAAAGGGTATTTTTTATATTTGTTTCTTTTTAGAGGTGAACAAATGTAAAAACATAGGCAAATTTCATTTATTATTTGAATTATGGTGAGGCCTGGGATGCTAGTAAGAGAGTTAAAGTTACTGCACTGACCATTGTTTACACATTTAAAAAGGCACCCCTTCTCCAAAGGGCTTATTGGTGAAGCTGCATCTTCGAATTTGATCCAGATAAACATAGCTGCAAGTTCATGTGGAACCCCCCAGACTTCATAGTATGAGAATAAGCATTTACTCATGGACTGCAGGCAGTAAAGATACTTTAAATCAAAAACCTTTCTAATACTCCTCTCTTTACACAAGCTTAATATAATTAATTCTTTAAAAGCTGTTAACTTCAGCTCAGTTTTAACTCAAGAGTAAATTTGGTCCGAGGTAATTTTTTTAAGCTACTGTAAAATACAATTATTGAAACGTATGTCTATGTGGGAAATTTTTCTTAAAACAAGCCAGCTTCAAACATGGCAAAACCTTAAATATTAATTTAAAAATTTATGATAGTATATTGCTCATTTTGCTCTCTCAGTATAGCATGGTTAAGTGAATCACAACAGCATCCTTCCTAAAAACACCATACAGCGCTCTCAGTTAAGTACATTTCCTAGAACGCATTTCCTAGAACCCAGCAAGGCAAATTCCTGCAATACGGATGAGGTGACTATAACTGACGAGTAACAAGTACTTCAGATACTCTCTTTTCTTTGTTGCAAAGGTTTCTTGGGCCTTCTGTTTCCCCTAATCAACTTTTCATTCTTCTCTTTGGCAGAAATGTAAGGACAAAAGCAGTTGTACAAGGTGTCTCTGTGTAACATTTGCCTGTCTACTAGCAGCTTTTTGGCTGAAAGAGAAAAGAACCAAGCTGAAAGTTGATAGACTGGGATTTGTCTCTGTTTTGATTCATACATCTGTCTGCTAATTTTTAGGTTTCTCTCCAGCAGGGTGAGAGAAGCAGCATTTAAACAAATGCTCAAAATATACTTAGTGTTATAATGGAGTAACACATACCTTTAGCAATAATTGGTATTTCGTTATTCTTTGAACGGGTTTCAGCAAGTATGAGTCCAAACTGAGCTTGTGATCGAGTTTTCTTTGACATTCCTGAAATCAGTGTTGGATTTCATCAGTACACTAATCAGTATTTCTGTTACTTGTTCTTGACATAAATGATGAAGTTTAAAAAAAACAACCAAAACAAACAACAAACACCCCCCACAAATATTTTAGAGACTCAAGCAAGCATACCTGAAAGAACACAGAATCTGAAAACTGCCTCCACAAACTTTCAGATCGAGGTTTATTTTGACAGTATTTTTCATAAATCTGGAAATCTTCCATCTGACATTGGGGAGACAAGCAAAAAGTTAATAAATTCTTGTGACTTTAACAGGCAAAGTTCATAAGAATTTTTTTCATGATCAATAAGGCTAAGAAAAAACAACAACAACAAAAAAAATGCAATTCCTTGAGGCATCCCAAGCAAAAAATGATTATTAAAAATAACTGATTTTGTAACGGCTATTAATTCTGTACTTGGAACATCAGAATAAAATGTTCCTGTTAATTTTTGCTTCAGTTGAATGTTAAGTACCTTACGAAGAAGCATATATTATATTTACAAATATATTTCTATTCAAATATGAAAAATACTTCTAGGAATGCCCAACCATGAGTCCCTCTGTGCAACTTATAATAGGTCTTTGCCCTTTTTTCTTCATACATTTTATGAATGTTTTTCACTGGGAGTTGCACTAAGGTAGACCAAGCAGTTTGTTGCCCCTTATCACTTCAGCAACTAAATAGCATGACTTCAGCACTTGTTGAAAGCAAAAGGAAATAAGACTGTTAAAAATGCCATAGTAACTATAGATATAAAGGAAAGACTAGGTAAGAAATCAGCAGGCACAGAAGTACCCCTGTCCCTCAGTTTTAGGAAACATCATCTCCATGGCTGTAACCAGTAAATAGGAGGGGGAGGGAGTTTTAGAACATCAATGGGTAGCAACAACAGGAGACTGATTTCCATAAACAGATTCCTATTCAGCCTTTGGTATACTACGGGTGAGACTCATTGTTTAATAAATCCCAGATTAAAAAAGTTTAATGCTGTCATAGCTTTCTATTTTTGGAATAAAAATATTTTGGACTTACTCTGTTCAGGTGTACTCTTTAAAGAAAACAGAAAAGAGCAACAACAACAACAAAAAATCTAGGAAAGAAATCTAACCAAGTAAACCAATCATTTATAGTGATGTGAAATGATGCAGTGCATGACTCCTCTTAATCTTTTCCTAACTGCCACTTGAAGAAAGCAGTTTTCTTTCAACAAGGTAGTAGCTCTTTCTAACAAAATTAGTTACCCCACACAGCAGAAAATATCCCCAACTCTCAATTAACACGTACATTCTCAACCTGTTACCTGTTCAAGACAAAGGGGCTGTGGTGGCAATTGCTACATGAAAATCACTCCTGTTACAGTCTTAGAGGGGCTTATAAACGAAATGCCAGCAAACGATGACACATACCTGATCCAGAAAGCATCGTCCTACTAGTTCTGGGTATTCTACGTAGTTTTCTAGTTCTCTCAAGAATATTCTATGAGGAAGAAGATTTTCTTAGAACACATGTTAAAAAAGTTGTAGTAAACAAATTCTTGCAATTCGTTCTCTAAACTTTTGGAAACAGAGTTGTAATTCTGTACTACAAAACTAAACAAAACTCTTCTAGACCATGTACTTAAAAAGGGATAGCAAATTAAAATAAACAAACATTCTGACCAATTTCTTTTAGCTTACTGTTGCTACAACTTAAATCAAATATAAGATTGGGAAGGTGTGCTGGTTTTGGCTGGGGTAGAGTTAATTTTCTTCCTAGCAGCTAGTATGGGGCGGTGTTTTGGATTTGTGCTGGAAACTGTTGATAACACAGGGATGTTTTTGTCAATGCTGTGCAGTGCTTACACAGAGCCAAGGCCTTTTCTGCTTCTCACACCGCCCCACCATCGAGTGGGCTGGGGGTGCACAAGAAGTTGGGAGGGGACACAGCTGGGACAGCTAACCCCAACTGACCAAAGGGATATTCCATACCATATGACATCATGCTTAGCATATAAAGCTGGGGGAAGAAGAAGAAGGAAGTGGGGGATGTTCGGAGTGATGGCATTTGTCTTCCCAAGTCACCGTTACGCGTGATGGAGCCCTGCTTTCCTGGAGATGGCTGAACACCTGCCTGCCGATGGGAAGCAGGGAGTGAATTCCTTGGTTTGCTTTGCTTGCGTGCGTGGCTTTTGTTTTCCCTATTAAACTGTCTTTATCTCAACCCACGAGTTTTCTCACTTTCACTCTTCTGAAAGATCCTCTCCCCCAACCCACCGGAGGGGTGAATGGGTGAGTGGCTGTGTGGTGCTTAATTGCTGGCTGGGGTTAAACCACGACAGAAGGGAAGGGGTATTTTGATTCCCTGCCCTATATATTCAGCAGCAGGATCTGTACAGTTTGGTTGGTTTTGGTGTTTGGTTTTTCCTTCCAAATACTACCAAACTCTACAAAGCAAAAAAAACCCGAACCAAACCCCACCTCCCCAAACAAAAAAAACCCACCCAAAAAAATCAGTGGCAAAACTTCCAGTCTAGTTTTGCCTGAATAAGAAACAACTATTTAATGTGCTTAACTTCTCTTGAAAATACTTCTCTTTTCTACCAATTTAAATACTCTCCTGTGAAGAAATACCTCTCTAGCAGCAAGGATTCAAACTTCAGAGTGAGGTCACTCAAGTATAAAATTAACCATCCTCAACCAGATGTAAGAGTTGAGAATTTGTGGTTTAGGATAATAACTTACTTTCCATAGCAAATTTCATAAAAAATAAAAGAAACCTAAACAAACCTTGCTTTAATTAGCTTGTAAGCAGATCCCAAATCCCTTCAGGAAGAGGACCACAATGCGAAATTTTACCTGCGTACTGCAAACATTTGAATAAAGTTTCACACAGCTTTGCTCATCTTTTATAGATATTTTGCTTTTCCTCTTCTATGCAATATGAATTTTGACATGCCAGATAGCCAAGTGGGACTCAGTAAGGATCTTTCAGCAATTTAAATCAGACTAAAAGAAAGACTAAAGAATCCCATCCAAATGCTATTTTTAGATCTGAATGCAAATCCTCACCTATTGTGAAAATGATAAATTTCTTCCATATTCCCAAACAAGATATCCTTCTTATTTTGCAGTTCTGGTGAAATGAGATGAGCCATTAAGGGGTTGTCCATCTCTGCAGCATAACCCTGCAACACATGAGAGAGACACACTGATTATCTCCCTTTACTTGCAGTACTTAATCTCTCTGTGACAAGCCAGTCTGCCTGCAGGCTGATAGACAGCAAAGAAAGAGCTCAGTATTAATCATGAAAGAAGTATACAAATTCTATTTTTCCATCAGTCTGGTAAGACAGACCTATATATTAAAAGACACTTGAATAATTACTGCAATTTTAGTTAAGCAAGGATGAAACAAAGTTTGCAATCGTTTCCACCAAGCAAAAGCTATGCATTCCCACACTGCTTACAAATTGTAGTTTGTACATTTTCTGTTAAGACTTCACACATCTGAGTTTAAAGCCACAATTCCAGTACACATGCAAACTTTCATGCTCGTCTTAGCTATTAGTATGAGGGAACAAGCTGACTGTAGTTATTTCTGCAAGTAACAGAAATCATTAAGCTGCAAATTCTATCTTTAAGACATTTTCATTAGCTTTGGTACCAAAAGTCATAACTTTAGATTCTGACATCTTCCATTCGTCATCTAAGGCTACATTCTCTTGTCTGTATATCTGGCACAGATAAGGAAAAGAGAGCACGCAGGTGTCTTTAGCCCAGGACTGTTCTCCTCTCGTCCCAAGGTCACTAATATGTGATTAAGTGATCTCCCGAAACACTAAAAAAAACCCCACCAAACAATCCTCCCCAAAAATCCCAAACCCAAACAAAACACCCCCAACCAATCAACCAGAAAAACTGCAAGAATGCTCTAGTACCTGTATTGTAAATAGATTTCTTAATGTAAGCAGATTTCTTAGTGTAAAGGCACTGAAGGAAGATGATACGACCTACTTTAGATTTGGATTAGATTTCTCCCTCTCTTTTTTTTTCTTTTTTTTTTTTTTAAAACCACAATTATCATGGACAAGGTGGTCACTGCATTAGTGACATTGATTATAATAAATTGCACTGGATTATAACAAACTGACAAATTAAATGAAAGGATAAGCAGACGTGCACCTGCAAACAAGATTTTCAATTTCAAAGTGATGTCCAAACTACAAAAAGTAGGAGAACTAGCTGGTAAAGTCAGCTAGCCTGAAGAACTCAAGCATTTGGATAGGATACTGATGAGATTTTTTTTTTTAAAAACAGAAACATTCCTTTAAAAATCTGGGTTTTTTTTCCTCAAACACCACAAAAAAAAAAAAAGACAACGGTATAAGCAAAGATGCTGGAGCTCATAGATCGCTAACCATTGGTCCCTCTCCCATATCTCTCCCCCCAAATAGGAAAATGTAGCATCTGAAAGAGGGAAAAAAAAGGTGGTACAGCACTAAAAAAGATGAAAATCATTTACATAAAATGGAGTTAAAAAAAATTAACAGGGAAAAGAACAACTGTGGCCACCGTGCAAGTTTAGATGCAGTGAAGAGATGCATGAAGACAATGATTCATTTCCACTTGAAGTAAAGATGATGCTGAACATAGCAGCAAAGCCAGCATTGGCATAAAGAAGGGGTACCTAACCCAGCAGAGATGAAAACAAACCTGACAGAGCTCAGTACTTTGGAATTCTGAAAGAACAAAAGCATGAAATCCATACATTGACAAAAAGCTTTTAACCTTTTTTTTTTTCACTTCAGGCTGACATAGTACTTATTTTAAAAATTTAATATAAAAAAACCTTCATGTTTTACTACTGTGCAGTAGTACTATGTAGTACTTGTGTTTTAAGAAAGGAGAGGGAAAGCTACTCCATGCAGCCACAGGGATCATTTAACCTTACTTTAAGAATATATGAGGTTTTGCTTAGTCTTCCATTTGAAAGCTGTTCTAAAAGCCTTGAAGTAAATGGAAAAAGGAGTAGAATACAATACCTAAAAATAGACTAGACCAATATTTTTCCCTAATAAAAATTACTGGATTTCACAGACTAAAGTGGGATGACCATGGTTATTAATGAAAGGAAAACTATCAAGCTCGGATAAAAGCAGCTATAGCAGTTTCCCAATAATCAATCTTGGGAAGTACCTTGTTTTTTTCTATTGGAATCCTTGGCAGAGAGAAAATGCATGGCAATTAAATATGACATAATAATAGGAGACACTGTCCATAAAAAGGAGTATCAGGTTACTTTACAGGAAAAACAGGAAGATTAACAGAATAGGAGAAACAAAGAAATTGGGAGAATAGCCAGAACTACGGATTAATAACTATAATTACTCAAAAGCTGGAAGACTGCCATTGAACCATACCTCAAGCAAGGATCTGATCCAGAATTACTGTTGACAGTCCCAATCACCCAAGTTCAAGGGAGATGAATCCCAAACTGCAAGGAGGCACAGAGAAGTATGCCTGGCATGGTCAGAGTACTGGAGAGTCTATTACATTGGCAGAAAACCAAGACAGCTTGGCCTAACAAGACACTATACTCTATGCAAAACAATAATACCAGAGGAATAGAAAGATTCTGCAACAACCCTCCAGTAACAGCAGTAAGGACCAAAAATCCTCCAACTATTTGAGTCTTGATTTTTATGAACAGAACTGTACAGATAGCATTGCATACAAAAGCAGACAATGAAGTGATCCGTAAGGTGCACTCCAGACCTACCTAGCTTTATTACCACACATCAGATGCAACCATCCTACTGTCATCAACACTTCCTAGCACTTGGACTGGACCAAGGACATAGATGCTATGGGAAGCTGAGCACAAACTAGGCAAAAGCAAGACCAGAGTTCAAAACCCTCATACAGTACTCTTACTTGAAGGTACGTACTCAGAAATTATCAGTCCCAGTCCATAACTTACGACAGCTCCTATTTAGGAGCTTAACATTGGCATGGACACCAAGTGGCATGGACACTTGGCTCAATTCCAATTCATGCTGATTAAAATAATTCAACCTCAGTTACCTGCAACTTCATCATCTCCTACAGTCAAATTGGACTACAACAAAATGACACATCCATGTCTGAAGACTTAACAAACTTGAGGAACAACACAGAATACTGCAGCGTATTTCTACAAGCAACTCAGCAGTACTGCAATTGTGCCTCCACAAGTGTGGAGCAAAGGGAACACCTTTGTTTCCTTTACAATTTCGAATGAAGATAGTATTACAAGGCACTCTGTTGCCACAGTTGTACCCAAGACATTTGGAAGATCACTTAAAGATATGCAAAGAGGGATGCAAGAAACAAATTTTCTCCTCTGACACAAGACTCTCGTGATGCAGATTTACATTCCTGTGTGACACATGACATTCCTGGAGTCGACCCAAGACTCTGGAATGAACTTTTGCAGGAATTAATGATCATTACAAATCTCACTATGTTCCACCTAAATAGTTAGGCATATCTTATTTTCTGCCCAATTTGTGTTTTCTAGTACAAAATCCTAGTTGCACGAATATTTCTAGAAAAAAATTGCATATTCCTGCCTCTGTGAAAATACGATGAGAAAGGAGAGATGTAATGATCACACTGCTTGACAGGACAAGCAGAGGTATTACAGTGATAAGGAAAGCATAAGAGCATCCATGAAATGGAAGAGATAAATAGATTCACTAAGAGCCGCAGTGAAATTTAATCTTTACCTCAAGAACGCAGAGAAGTTCTTCTACATATGCTCGTTCAGTCTCAATAAGTTCATTAATGACATGCCTGTAGACAAAGAATGACAATTAAGGCAGGCCTATTCACTTACGCAAAGTAATGAGGCAACATTCATACTTCAGACAACAAAAGAACAATTTCCAGGTTATGGAAAATGTGATGTTTCATGGATATTTCTGTCAACAGTTTATATATCCTTATTGAGAAGCACTATTTTTAAAACATTTTAAAATGTTTGAAAATGTGTTTAACAGGAAAAAAGTCAAATCTAGCATTTTAAGTGCTGTAGTAACTAAATTGAAGCAATGAAATATTTTATCATTGTACATACAAAATCTGGTTCTGTTTGCAAGTATTACAGGAGCTGGAGTTAGAGCTGCATAAGATTATCAAAAACAGACTTAAGGTTACATTTAAAATGCCTCATTTTAAATTAGAGGCATTTAGGGCACACTTTAAATATCACGATGCTGCTTTAAGTTTAATTTCCCTAACGGTCAAGCAAGCATGCTTCCCCCCAACGCCCTCCCCTTGTGATTTTGTATGATTTAACACATGGTTGTAACAGTGAAAAGACAGTAAAGTATCCAGTTTACAGGTAGAAATGCAAGCTCTGCTATACACATTGCAGGTGGTACTAAGTTATTTTTTGAATATAAGTGATGCTGTTTAGTTTTTGTATAAGAAGGTGATTTTTCGTAACATTTATCAAAACAGGGACTAAAATGACTCAAATAAAAAGACAAAGTCTTCTGAAGCATGGAGACCAAAACCTCTGACAGATTTACAGGAGACTTATTACTCAAAACGATGTCATCTCTGAAATGAAAATACGTAGTTATCCTGCCATATCATTACCTCGCTGCAGCAAAGCTAGAGTCTGGTACTATATAAACTATAAACAATGCTGCAGACAGACTGAAATATCTTCCTCTGTGTATAGAGCATAGCCAATGCATTTCAGAAAGCACTGAGGCTTAATTCAGAGAAGCATACTTGTCTTATCAAATCCTTAGCCAAACTCAGCCTTTGCTGGAACCAAATCAGAGAAAAAGCATTTTTTATTTATCAAAATACACTTACTGCCGTAACACAGCTAGGTTTTCTTCATCATCCATTGTAGATCCTCCTCTGCTTTGATGGAGTTCAGTCATTTCACTCTAAAGAAGGAAACAAACAAACAACAACAAAAAAAATCATGTCATCACAGATGGGGGAATAACACTTTAAAATACGGAGCTTTGCACTCAGCTCTACTTGCATGTGTTTTCACAGGAAAGACTGTACTCCATTAAAAATGAAGGCAATTTGCAAGAATGCAGCAAAAAAATCCAAGTCAACCTGAAGGTCTTGAAGCACACAAGAACATTTAGACACGGGGAGTTCTCCATGAAAGGCCAGCTTAGAAAAGACCGTGGTTCGAGGCCCCGTTCCAGGAAGACAACATCAGAGCATCAGCATAATCTTGGAGGCAACACTGGCCTTAGTCTGTTTTCCAAGCTAAAAATGAAGTACTGTGCTAACTTTCTGGTAACTTCCTAACTTGACACAGAAGTTCACTCTTACAACTTCTACTGTAATGGCTGACCTAATTACGGCTTGCTGAAAAAAGTGAGAGGTTCTGCTTTCAATCCCCCCTTGAACCAAGCCTTTTCTCCAACTGTTGTCCCTACTGGTCATGTGGTCCTGCCTTCCTCCTTGCATTGTCTCTTGCTGAACCTTTGCCGAGTTGATTCAACTCTCTAACCCAGTGGGAAACTACTTGTTTCTGTTGCTGCCGTCAGGTTACTTTCCTTGCCGGAGGCGGGGCAGGAAGACCATCCCCACTTGGGAATGGCAACCCATTAGGTCAGGTGAAGCTGTCTTGGAGCCAACGACAACTACCTCTTCACTTTCACCAGTTTTAAGAGTAGCCAATTACTACTGGCAAATAATAAATGTTTCCTGTTCATAGATTTTATATTTTGCTGCCCCTAACATTTTTCCCAATATAGGCAACTATTTACTTTACCTTCCCTCATACCCAGCCCAGTGACAAAGCAGCCTCTATTTAAACCACATGACTGTTTTACTTTGATAGGGGCAATACCATCACTTCTTCAGTGGAACTGCCTCATTCTTCTTGAAGTTCCTGAATATTCCATTATATTAGGACTTTCTTAAGCGGTACATGCATGAAAAGCGCAAAGAAAAAAAATTACCTTTCCTCTTCTGCAGTTTACCCTCCGAAGCGCACTGCTTTCTGAGTTGGATACACATTCTCTTTGAAGACCTAAGCCCGTAAAGCAGAATCAAACAGCAGTCAGAACTTGAGCAGATCTGACACAGATGTTTGTGCAACCACAAATTACAGCTGAAAGTTTCTTTAAGTTTCTCAGCATACGCAATAAATTAGTTAAAGGCTACTACAGTTACTTACCTGGAGAGGGACAAGGAGATTTTACAAAGGCTTCAGGTCTTGGTGCAACTGGCTGGACAGGACGTGTCTGCTTAGCTGCCAGTTTCTTAAGACTTACTTGTCTCTTTTGAAACATTTCTTCCATACTTTCTTGCTTCTGGAAAACCTTTTGCACATGCTCCTGCCGTTGCCACAGAAATGAAAAAAAGAAAAAAAAAAAGTCCTGTCAGAGACTTATCAACAAGCTACACTGCCATTTACAGCACAGTGATTTGCAATTGTGATTGCTTTTATACCATGTATAGAAATATTACTCTACTCTTCACTCTTAACAAGGCATAATTTACAGTCATTTAGTACACTTAAAAATTGTAACATCACTTCATATAACATTTTGTGTGCTTGCTGTAGAGAAACCAATGGGGTTCAGGTTTCAATTTAAAAAAAATATAGGGAAAAGTTTTCTTGACAGTGTCTAATGGTTCTGTTACATGAAGAGATGAATGAAGAGGAAAAGGGACATATTCTCAAGTTCTAAAAAAAAGCAGTTACAAAGCAGAAGTCATACAAATATCAGGACAGGCACATTTTTGCTACATAAAAAAGATATTTTAAATACTCATTTGGGAGAATTTTTTTTAAAAGCAATACTGCTAGTTGAAAAATTGAAGTAGTTATTAAAAGGCTATGAAGCTCTTGATGCATATCCAAAGATATGACAGGACTAGCACTTCAGGCAGCGAAATGTGTTGGCTTTCCAGTTCCCAGGTATAGCTCCTAGTACTGATTATTCAGCTTTATCAATGGCCATGCAAGAGAACAATTCCAAAATTAACAAATGGATGCATAGATACACATAAACGTCTTCTCGTACCTTTAGGTCCTCATTGAGGATGTGTGCATACTCTCTGTAAATTTTATTCAACTCCTTAATCTTATTGCCTGCACCAGTGTCCAGGAATTTCTCAATCTCGTGTAATGCTGATTCTGCACCATCCTGAGACTGACACTTATCTACTGGCTGCGAAGCCAGCAGATAAATTCCTTCATCGCACCACCTCATAGACTAGAAATGGAGAAAAGAACAGGCTCAGAATGCACCGATGTCAGCAGCAAACACTAAGTGGTCTAAAACATTTCATACCTCTACTTGTGACGTATTTAAGGAGAAAACTTCCAGCACACCCAGATATTTTTACCTGCCGTTATGACAACTGGTTGACTGAGGTTTTAGCAAACAAGATGGGAAACAGAACTGTTCCATGCAAAATTTACCTTTTCTAGTAAGCCATGCAATTCTAGAGATTTGTTAAGAAGATTCCTCCTCCGTTCTGTCTCAGTAGTGAAGGCATCACAGAGATGATGAAGTTCACTGCATTTTGGAATAATGGAGTCCACAGCATAATGATTGCCTTGAATAAAAGCATCACCTTCTGAGGCTAGCATTCTGGCTTTTGTTATAGTTTCCTAAGAAAGCAAGCACTGATTTAGGTATATCTTTCCTTGGATCAACATCAATGAAAAAAATGAAGAATTACACCATTTGTTTGTACACAGTAAAATACACTTGTTGATAAAAGAATATATCTTCAGTTAACAGCTGCCTCGTTTAATAAATCAAAGTGATTTCCCATCTTCCCAGACGCCCAAGAACTTTTATGCCTCCTTCTTTATTGTATCAGAGTACTTCAGAAACATTAATGAGTTTAATCATATGCCTCCCTGTGAAGGAACCACTAATGTCTTTCTATGCCTTAGTTATTCAGCAGCATGTTTGTGTGTGTATGTATGCAATTTGGAGTACAGCAGCAATCTGAACCCAAATTAAAAAATACCTAACTCTGGCACCTCAGCCTCAAAAGCAACGACCTCACTTATAGATCTATATATTTTATTGTGAAACACAGATGATAATAATGTTCCCTTTCTACATTGTTCAGAGTGTATGTTTCTGTTGGTCATCTTTTAACATATTGTAAATTCAATACACAGCTTTCTCATTTCTGAGATTTAATGAAATAAGTGGCTTTAATAGGAATGGAAGCGGCCCCTTGATCACTAAGTGCAGAACTTGGCTATATAGACACTTCATGCAATTCTTCCACGAACCGATCACACCGACTTTCTGACTGGTCGCTCTGCTTTTTATTGAGGGATGCCTGAGAACTGGGCTGCTCCAATGGTTAAAGACTTTATTCCAAATTCCTTCTGCACATTACTTGAGACACTGATTCTGCCCTGTTGTCAGCTTAAGCTCTGCTCATAAGATATACTCAATAACCAAATACTGTTCCCCTCCGCACATGCATGGTCATACTAGAAATTAAGGAGGCTTCCAGAGTTCTTACACATGATTTTTCTTCAAAGTTGGCAAGATCTTTCAAAATGTGCTCCACATGCGAACAGCTGTTTCCCACATCTGTGAAAGCAGACAGTCTCTCGGACACAATATCCAAAGCTGCTTTGACCTGAAATGAGACACAGCTATGTATGAATGAAGATGATTCCACCTCTCTGGAGACCCATCAGTTAAACAGCTGACAACCACTATTTCCAGTCAGGTGACTCACCTTATGGGGTTACTGGGGCACAGAGACAAATCACTTTTTTGTCAGCCTACCTTTACCCCCAATTCAAAATGAAAACAAATACAAAGAAAGGCAGTGAAGTAATCCTGTTTCCTAGTACTGAAAAAAAAGCAGGAAAAACTAATGCTCAGGAAAAGATTTATGATCTTGCTTTTACCAGATGACAATAATACAAAGCGACATTAACATAAACAGCAAAACGTGAGAGAGAGGTCCTCACCCTAACAACTGGTTGAGACAGACATACACAGACAGACACATGCACACAATTGTAAAAGGGCTTCTGAGCATTGCTCCCATGGAGACACAGGGGCCGTGCTCTGAGATCAGCTACACCAGCGTAAAGTGACTGTAGGTGCCATCAAGCATATGAGTTAAACTAACATGAGATCAGAAACTGGCTGTAAAAATTTTAGTTCAGCCTCCACCCAGCTTCTAACATTGTGGTTGCAACTTCCCACCCACAGTGCTGGAGACTTTTATAAAATTTCAGCCAGAAGGTTTAGGTAAGTCTTGGTTCCATAAAAGGGCCTATTGGCAAGATGAAAGGTTTGCAGCCAGCATATTATGCTTCTGTGGTAGAAAAGAGGTTTCAAAGGAGTTTTTGAATGCTTATACACCGTTGGGCCCATGGAAAAAAAATCATAAGACTGCAGAAGAGAATTATTATGTCTCTATACGCAAGTATTCAAGGTAGTAAAGATAGCAGGATGTCAAGTAAGGACATGTACAAGAAAAAGGTTGGAGAAAGCTTTCAAGCACACACAAGAGCTGCAAAAACAAGAGAGGGAAGTATTTTCTTCTGAATCATTTTAATATTACCAAATATTGACTGCCACCAAGAAGTTCTCACCTCTCTAAAATTCTGTTCAAAATTCCGAAGACGCAGACACTGCTCAAGTTTTTGCTGATGCTTAATCCAAAACTCATCAAAGGCAGCCTCCGTTTCATGTAATTGAGCCAGAAGCCTTTAAAAAAAAGAAAAAGGCATACTGTAAGAATGATGGGTGCAACCTTCAAGGGACAATACAATCTTCCACAGTAAACAAAAAGCCTCCCCAAAGCAATATTTTCCAGACGAAATAAACTGGATACAGGAAACTTTCTGAGTATTGCACAGAATTGTTTCCTAGAATAACATTGATGTAAAACTGAAACCCAACACAAACATTAAGTTCTGAAAAATTGGCAAGTGCTGATTTGAAGCTAGCTGCTGCACATAATGACTTCTCAGCTCTGGCCTGGGGACATGGTGACTTGGGGCTAGCAAACATAAATAAAACATGCAAATGTGTGTGGGCTAGGACCCAGAGGAACCCAAGCCTTGGGCAATAAGGAAAAAAGAAGGCAAAAATCCATACTGCTGTGACCATCCAGCTGCCCTTACATTCCATTCCTTACATTTCATAATAAACCTGAAGGTCATTGATCCTCCTCTTCTGAGCAGAGTTACTACTTAAATATTACAGGCAACTACAGCAGTATTGCGATGAAAAGCACCTTTTTCAATTATAGTTCTGGCCAATGTATTAGGACTTTTACTTTTCAACTTATCTTCCAATATTGCATTTGACAGTACGGTATCCTATGGACTTATCTTTTCAGTATGCTTTGCTGTACTTAGGCTACATCCAGGGAAGGCCATACATCAGAATTTTAATGAATTTTTGTCTTTAATAGCACAGAAACAAAGCCTAAATTTACAAGTTAAAACTGATTAGAAAAAAGGTGGGGACACACACACACACAGAGTTTGTTCCAACTTCCATCAGACATTGTATCGAGTGGGAACATTTTGGATAAATCAGCAACTCCCACCCCAATTGTCCTTCGGATAGCTGATAGCAACAAGGACCAAAGAAAGTGACTTCTGCCTAGCTTTGTGGATTGGAATGGACAGTTATTTGGAAAGAAGAGTCAGCCCGAGTGTAACAGAAACATGGAATGACAGACAAAAAAAGAATGCAGAATACTGCCTGGGGGAAATGAGGTATGCTTTCATAGCTTTGTACAAATTTACATCTGTGCTATGGTGATATAATGTCTCCAAAACTGGCAGTAATTTAAGGGGGGGGTGGGGAGCAAAGGAAAACAACATCTGTTACTTATATGCCCAAAGGAAGCATATAGGAAGTTTGTGCATAGATACTTCAAGAGCGGTGTACTCCCTAGTAGCCCTTTAAGTGCTACTAACGACACTGATAAAATATCAGCAATGTTAAAAGCTCCTTCAGGAAGGTTTAAAGAAAAAGAAACCTCCCACTTCAATTCAAAAGGACTTAACGAAAATGGACAAATCTACTGAAAAGAAGGGATATATCACTTCTGTATTCCCCTCCTGCTTTCCCTAGAGCAGCGAAATTTCCTTGGATTGCACTTTAGTTTCTAAACAAAGCATCAATATTCTTTAAAATAAGGAAAACCTGCTCAACTACATAGTCCAAATCTGACAAAAAGGGAAAAAAACCCCCAGCGTTACTTTGTTGGTACTGGAACTCAAACTGCATCCCCTATTTCCCTACATCCAGGTAACCCAGTAATGAACATCAGGGGATTACTTTGCTCAGGACAGATGTGACAACAGAGGAGTTGTGTCTGAAGTACCTTTTATATGTTCACATTGTAACCTTTGCTTATTTGCTAAGCATGCATATGGAATTATGTAAAAGAGCTGGGGAGGGGTCAAAAAACCCAGAAAAGCAGCATGTTCAGTATTTACTCCTCTCACCTTTCTACCGTTGTTTGATTGTCTAGCTGATCTTGATTCAGTTTGTATTCAGGATTCTCAGTAACTGGTTTTGTAATACTTCCAAGGATATCATCTCCCTGCTCTACTGCTAACCTGATATCCTCCTACAAAACAAAACAAAAAACCCACACACTGTAGTTGTGTGTTGTTGGTTTTTTTAAGCAGACTTCATAAGGCACCAAACTGGAAAAAGGATTTTGTTTTAATAGTAATAGAGCAAGCACAGTTTGATTAAAAGCAGTGTTTGACAACAAATACAGACAGTAAATGCTAAATGTCACCTTTTTCTATGTTTACCATCTTAAGACCCCAGAGTAACTGAGCTGAATTTCCATGAAAGATAGCCTTCTAGGCTACAAATATCTCAGAAGTTTTAGATGTATAGTTTTGAAACCCCAATTCAGTTTTCATTTAAGCCAATTTGAAAGAACATTTGTCCGTTCTTCAAAAGGTCATATATTTTCACATGCGTGCAAATACAATCAAATTTCTCGTTGCAAATGAAACTACAAATTAAACACACCACTACTTACAAAGGAATTCCTGTTTCCACATACAAATCATTATGCATTTGTACATTAGTAAACTTAGCCTCAAGAATTGTCATTTTTGAATGCAAAAAGGATTTTTAACATCAAACCAAGCAAAACAAGTTCAATAAGATTTCAATGTTTCACATTATTATTGTCTATTAACATCCTCCAGATTTTCTATTAACATTATTAGCTGTAAATTAAAACATAGTTTAACTAGAAGACAGCCTCTTTACAAAGATTACATACCTTCATTTTGTCCTTCTTTTCTGTGTGTGTTGCAAGAAGGGAGCTGGTTGATTGCACATCATTTGGTAGTTCTGTTTCAGCCAGCTCAGTCCCAAAGGACTGAAGAATCTGAGCTGTTTGCTTAACCTTTTGGGCGAAACCTTCTATAGCCTTTTGGAATAAAAACCATTAATGATGTTTCATGATCATCACATGCATACGTACAAACAGACATATACACACACAATATAACTCTCAAAACAAACCCGAGCAGATGAATTATGAGACTGAAAAATGGTCTAAGTATAATTTTTCAAGCAACAGATACCATCACCATTAATTCCTTAATTGTACGTTTTTCCTAGGCTCGTATCAGGTATATCTTCCTCATATTTTTATAATCTGGAGTTATTCTACAACTTGAGCTTTTTCTTTCTCGTAGCAAAAACAATAAACCTCAACACAATAATACACTGTAGTTCCTTTGCTCCAAGTGTTCAGAAAACCACTCCCAAATTATTACTCATATTTTTTTCTCTAAGATGACTAAGTACCATTGGGAACATCTTCTCACTCCAAGCAAGTCAATTTGCATCACTTGGAATCTGTTTTATAAATGACAGGGTATAAAACAGAAGGGTTCGTTAAGCTGAAAAGTTGAAACAAAAACTTAAGGACTTACAGTGCGACGGGACAGCCATGTGTTATGGCAGTAATCCAGGGTGCCACCAAGATCTTCTGTTAATTGTGTTTTATCAATGTAACCCTGTAGTTCTGATACTGAGCCCAGCATTATGATCTACAGCAGCAATGAAAAAAAGTGAATGCAAACAATGGTGAGAAGTTCCTTATTAAGGATTCTAAGCCCCATCCTTCAGCCTCTGATAGAGAAATTTCAGTTTAATACAGAAGCAACTGATGGAACTATTTCCTTTGGGTATAGAATAAACAAACTTAACAGTTATTTCAGTTGAAGATGATGTAAATTTAAATAACAGCAAATGAGCATAAGCACCACGCTTAACAGTGCAGATTAAAATAAAGCTTATGAATTATACAATGTAAATGACTCCATTGGGGTTTCTTATCTTGATAAACCATACATGGCTATTTTCTAAGAGGAACCTTTAATTCAAGAATTCAAGAACTACCTTTAAGCATGGGGTTTTTGTTGGGTTTGTTGTTGGTTTTTTTTTGGTCCTCACTGGCTATATTAAGCACTTTAACAGATCTCTGATAATAAAGTGAAAACAAAGGATTACTTACAGGTACTTTCATTTTAAACTCATCTTTGTTGAACCTGAAAGCAATGTCCGAGAGAGCTCGATGAAAAAATCCTGTTGGGCGCAGAACGAGGACTAGTTGCAGGTTTCCCGGGAAAGATGCCTGCAAAACAAGTTTAGTCCGTTATTTTCTGTATCTCAGCTCCAGAAAATATTTTTGAAGAAGGAGAAGCCCCTGCTAAACCACAAACTAACCGTATCAAAGGCCTCCCCACAATGAGGTGACCAATTATAAACGTAGCAAGGCTTGGACAGAGAGCTTCATTCAAAGAGACATTTGCTCATCTTTGGGAACAGAGTGACTGTTCTCCTGGAATCGAATTTGTCAGGACTGGCTTGTACTGCTCTTCAGCTAAGATTACATCCTAGCCAAGGAGGCTAATGAACAAACAGCGGTGGCTTAGTACTTTTTCAGCAGCAGTACTTTCACAGTTACCTTATCTTCTCTTTAATAGAGGGTGCCAAGAGAAACCTCCATTATTGTCTGAACACCTAACAACATATTTATAGTTTGCGCATATACTACCTTGCCAGTTGCCTACATAAACTATTGCCACTGAGACTGAATTTCTCAGGCAGTAGCTTAGAAATAAGCTTTAATTTTTCAAACAAAAATAAAAGTCAAACATAGTAATTCTCAGCTGTGGTTTTTCTCATCATCTTCCAACTGGTAGTCTGATGGATCTTTCCTTGTTCTACAAGGGATAGAGGGAAAACAGAAGAGAGAAGGAAAGCAAAGCAAAGAAATAGCATTAAATTACTAAAAATCAACCACTGCCGTGGCAGAGGTTTGCATATTTGGCATTTAGCCATTCTTGAAATCATGCAAATCTTCTCCTCTATTCAGTATTTCCACTGCAGGGAGGCAGTGAAGCTCACTAAAGAACTTATCATTATAATGATTAAGTATGTACTTTTATTCATTATACTGTTGGAAATTATGTCACACTTCTAGCAAATTGAATTACAAAAAAAAGTCAACCAAAAAACAAACACTGACTGAAGAAGTTAAGCTATGCTCTGTTTCCATGTCTGGTTGGAGAGTGGTTTAATACTCATTTTAAGGTTTCCAAGGGTTCCAGCATTGGAAATGACAAACTTTTAAAGAGAAAAGTAGTTTAAAACTTTTCTGGAAGACTTCACAGATTCATTGTGGTTCCCCAGATATTCAGTGTACAAGTGAGATCTCCAACTGACTGAGGAACGTTAAAGACTTGAGCTTCAGAATCTGTCTCCACTTCAGCAATGTCCAAATTTTCTAGAAAGCATGGTGGTTCAGTCCCAAAGGAGTCTGTCCAAGGCCTGGGAACGGAATCCAGGTAATTCTGAGTGTCCACACCAGCTCCCCATCCTTGCACTGTAAACAATCTTTCTATGTGTATTAAAAGTAGTACACCCTGTGGACTTACTAACCAACAGTTATCAAACACAGGAAACTTTTCCTGACTGTATTCAGAAGCAAAAGTTAACAAGAGATTATTTTAACCATTTTTTCCTGAATTATCCAACTGCAAATTTATTTAAGAAAATTATTTAACTCATACTAAGAAACATTGCAAGAATGGACAAAACAATTTTTTAAAATTAAATCTCCTGAATAATCTTTTTAGAATGATAGCTATGTAGTCTGTTCATTCAGACACGTGTCCATTCATTTTGTGCCTGTAACAGCAGTGTGCATGCTCTGACTGAGCTTGTTAATTTTCACCTTCAACTTACAATATGTAAAATTTATTCAATGGCAATAACAACATTTCAGAAGAAAAAGCTCTAAAAAGAAATATCTTTTAGATAACACATTTTGACAAAATAATGGGTCTTCATGCGAGATATCCACCCCAGCAGATGACATCCAGACATACTGTCTTTGGCAGGGCATGTTTGTTACCCATTTAGCCTTACCCAGAACACTGGGAAATGCCTATCCTGTTAGCTTCAAGTTGAGTAGATACATTAGAAACACACAATGGCATGAAATGAAGCAGCGTGAAAGACACTGAACAGTAAAAGTAAATTTTAAGTTACACGTATGAGTAATAAATTTCTTCATTCTAACTTTAAATTCTCACTTTTCCACTTTGTGACTGTAGCCTAGATTTTTACTCCAGAGTTTTAAAGAAAATATCCTGAAAGGGACCTGAGATCCTGGTGGACAACAGGCTAAACATGAGTCAGCAGTGTGCCGCTGCAACAACCAAGGCAAATATGATCCTAGGCTGCATCCATAGGGCCATGACTAGAAGGGATAGAGACACGATCATCGCAAAATACTCAGCACTTGTCTGGTTGCACTTGGAGTACTGTGTCCAGTTCTGGTCCCCACAATTCAAGACATGGACAGACTGGAGAGGGTCTGAAGGAGGGCCACAAAGATGATCAATGGGCTGGAGAACCTGCCCTATCAGGAAAGACTGAAGAAGTTAGGTCTCTTCTCCAGGGAGAAGGGGGGCCCCTCATCACATTTTCCCACCTGCCACTTAAAGGGTGGCTACAAAGAGGGCAGAGGCTCTCTCTTCACAAGGAGCCATGTGGAGAAGACAAGGGATAACGAGTACAACTTGTACCAGGAGAGGTTTCATCTTGATATAAGAAAGAAATTATTTTACAGTGAGAACAATCATTCACTGGAACAACCTCCTAACGGCTGGGGTAGAGTACCCATTGCTGGAGGTTTTCAAGATGTGATTGGACAGGGTGCTAGATAATCTCATTGAGGTTCCCTTTCCCCATGAAAGGTTGGGCCAGATGATCTTTCAAGGTCCCTCCCAATCCTCCCAGGGAGGTGACAGTCCCACTCCACACTGCACTGGTGCGGCCCCACCTCGAGTACTGTTTGCAGTTTTGAGCGCCTCAATATAAGAAGGACATCAAACTATTAGAGTGTGTCCAGAGGAAGGCGACCAAAATGGTGAAAGGCCTTGAGGGCAAGACTTACAAGGAGCACTTGGTTTGTTCAGTTTGGAGAAGAGAAGGCTGAGGGATGACCTCATCGCCATCTACACCTTCCTCAAGGGGGGCAACTGAGGGGGAGGTGCTGATCTCCTCTCTCTGGCGACCAGCGATAGGACATGAGGAAATGGAATGAAGCTGCGTCAGGGGAAGTTCAGATTGGACATTAGGAAAAGGTTCTTCACTGAGAGGGTGGACGGTCACTGGACCAGGAAAGTAGTCATGGCACCAAGCCTGTCAGAGTTCAAGGAGCACCTGGACCACGCTCTTAGTCATATAGTTTAGTTTTAGGTAGTTCTGCGAGGAACAGGGAGTTGGACTCAATGATCCTTACGGGTCCCTTCCAACTAAAGATATTCTACGATTCTATGAACCCAGGCTATTATTCTATGATTCTATGATATTTAGACTATTACTGAAGCAAACACTAGTAGCAAAATGAAGTGCAATAGTAAATTTTTCTAAACTGTGTATTAACTCTTATGAGATACAGAGTTCAATTGCATGACAAAATTAAGTAGGGTCTCTCATTAATGTTCAATTCAAAGAAAACAGATAGAGAATACACATCACAATTTTTCTCCATTACAGTGTGTCTACCCAAAATGATGCTGTTGAAATCACTACAGTCTTGTATCATCTAGACTAGTTCCCATTCAAGACTTGCCAGAAGTTTTCTCAACCTCTCAGCAAAAGCTCAAATTCTAGATTACTCTGTCTACAACACTGTTCTTCATCCATTAGTCTGTCTCCTATGCTTCTCAGGTTTTTCCCCCCCTCAAAAAAAGTAAAAAAAACCCCAGTCTCAAAAAATAACGCCCCCTCTGCTTGTTGTGGCTAGGAGTCAAATCTGCAAATTGACCTTTGTGAAACAACAACAAAAAAAGGGAGGATTGCTACAGTAAACAATGCTGTACCAGTGCCAGCTATTCCGGTTTATCTGAGCTTATATCTTCACTGCCCAAATATTACTATTTTCCCAACTTCTTTTTCTTTCTAAAGCTCTGGTGACTTGCAGAAATGATGCAGGTATGATGCAAGAGACACTCCTTAGATGCGTTTGAACTTTATCAACCAATCAACTTCACCCTGAACAAAAGAGAACAACCACAACAACAACAACAATCATCTCTGTTCCAGTCCAGCAGCATATTTGTTTGAAGCTGTTGTATGCTAAGCAGGCAGAGCAAACAAAGACTTCTCAACAATGCTGTGTCAAGTGTTAAGCACAAAAATAAATATTCATGTATGCTTAGTAGTGTCATAAAATAAAGTCCCTTCAAGGACTGATTTAGTGAAGTCACCGAACATCATTGTGTCTTGAAGAAGGGTTTGTGTGCTTGAAAACTGTTTTTTCCAAAAGTGTCTTTCTTTACTAGATTAATTAATATTAACTGCTCCCCCAACATCTTGTCTCAAATACTGAACTTCAACTCAATTAATCAGCGGAGAAAAAAACCACTGTCATATTTTTGGTATCCTCTATGAAAATTAGCCCCAACTCATATATTCCTTTGTCTCACTTGCATCAGCGCTGACACTTGTTTGATACTTCGTGACACTTGTAGGATTAGTTTTCTACCTGCTTATCTCCTTCACTTCCCCATCCAGTCAGGCCAGTGCCGATTCCAAAGATACAGAAAAAGATGTAGATGTGCATGTAGTTATTAGTTTTGAAATAAATTCAACCACATCAGGGATTTATATACAGCACAACCCTTAAATCAAAGCTTTCCAATACACTGAGATCTTTGCTGCCCTATGAGTACCCCAAACCTGGAACATGGGAAGAACTTTCACTGGCTGGACAAAACAGGAGCTACCTTAAATTCTCTGGAAAATCAGTTAACAGTCACGAGCAAGTTGACCTGCCTGCTTTCAGGCCTCCACTTCTCAGGGACGGGGAGCTTTCCACTGCATGCTCCAGGCCTCTGGAAGGGAGAACTTACAGAGACCGAACCCAGCTGGGTTTTGGGCAAAATGTAAAATTAAGTTAGTTGCATATAATCTTAATTATCACTTTCCTTCACAGAATATTAATGACAGAGAAGCTGTCTGTAGCACCAGTACTGACCCTGAAGTTAAGCAGCTGCGAATAGGGGGAAGTAAGGAGAGGCAGGCCACCTCATGAATAAAGATGACACGATGCTGAAT